CCCCCGGCGGGCTGGAGTCCCTCTATGCTCGGCTTCAGCGGTGACCGATCGATCTCCGCGGTTGCTTGACTTGAGCTCCGAGGCCAATCCCGAGGTAGCGGGGAGACATGGAAACCGTTAGCTTGGAAGAACCGCGAATCCTTCCTCGGTGTGGCATCCGGTGCCCTAGAGCCGGGCGGGGGGCACAGAGCCCGGGCTCGACCTGCTCCTGCTTCTGGGTGGCGTGGGTTCCGCACGAGAGAGCTTCTTCTAGGTAGCAGGAGGAACCTGCATGCGCCCCTCTGCGTCCTGCAGACCCTGCTGATCTCAGGTCAGCATCAGCTCCCAACTGTCACTGGAGCTTCTTCCTTCGCTCTTATAGGTATTCTCCCAGCACACCAGGTCCACTTACTTCTTGACAGGTTATTCCTTTCGCACTCCATAGTCCCACCGATTTCCTAAGTGGAAATGTTACTAATTTTACTCAAGTACTGTTCTGTGCATCATCGCAGTTACCAACTTCATGTGCAGATTTCAAAATAAACACATTCCCAATTGTTTGTTGTGCTTGTATGCATCTTAGAATACTTGAATTTTCTGTGAGTCTATTAGGTAATTACATACCCCTCTAGTCGTTTTTGTTCTGTATTCTTTTGAGCTTTTCTATATAAGCACACATTCCAAATTTAGAACAGAAAGATTAACTTCTGAAAGGGCAGAAAACATGTAAATGTATTTTTTGTCTTCGGGGCACAAGCACAGTTGTGGGGTGGCTTTAATGGGTGGATGGCTGTTGACTTGAAAGTAAGCTGAGATTTCTCAATATGTTTTTTAAGTTTTGTTACTGAAAAAAAGGCAGCGGTGACTGGAAGATTCTAAACAAATTCATTCTGTGTTTTTACTGTCAATTATGTTAAATTACCAAACATGCACACCAGGTATGTTGCATTCTAAGAGTTACACAAATAATAACTAGTTTATCCTCATAAGGTCCCTATGAAAATGTATTACCGTTATTGTTTTACTTACAATCCAACTGAGGCCCAGAGACGTTAAAGGACTTATCCTAGGTTGCACAACTATTGCCTAATTAGAAGCTTTTGAAATGAAGAAGGTTAAAAACATACCATATCAGAAATGCCAGATTGGTATATTGATTATTTCAATTGAAAATAAATTGAAGAGTTATACCCTCAGAACAGACCATTCGTCCCCTTTCATTATAGCAAGCCATACTGTTTTGGGAAGACATCCTTTGTATACCAAGAACAAGAAGTAATGTTAATAACTGACACTACTAATTGGGGCCACAATGAACTGGAATAAAGGTACTCTGACATAACTCTCAAACATACTCTCACAGATGTATCTTTGAAGGACATCCCTGGAACTTATTGCACTATCATCAACTTATACGTTAGTCCAATTAGACCTTCCCAAATTTTGTATTTGTCTAAGAAGTATGAAAGCACTATATCCGTTACTTCTTTAGACTTCACTTTCTGCAATGATCCTCATGTACTTGTAAAGTTAATAACTTTCCAGTTTCTCTTGTCTGTCAGCTCTGTTATAGTCCTAGGTCCAACCAAAGAAGCCACACAGATCTGAGGTGGGGTAGGCAAGAGTGTCCTGTTCCTTTGCTAGACAGCTGGGCTCCATGGTGTGACTTGTTATCTATACTGTAAGTCAGACACTGGATGTTGTGGTGAATTACATTCCCTCCACATGAAATCCCACTGACTTGAAAAGGTAGATAGTTAACAAGTTTACTTGAGAATATTTACTATTGTTTCCTGAGTTTCCATTAAATACAAATAAAATAACAATAATAAGGAAGGAAGTGGACCAGACATGGTGTCCCACACTAAGGAAGCAGAAAGAAATCTCGGTGAGTTTGAGGTCAGCCTGATCTACATAGTGAGTTCCAGCACAACCAAGGCTACCTAGCCCCTGTCTCAGAGAGAAAGGGGCTGGAGAGGAGGGGAAGAGGGGCGCAAGAGGCAAGTAGACAATGTGATGTGAGGTTTGGTGTTGGCATGCAGAGATCTCACACCCTTTTCCAGTTACATTTAGCTTTGTGGGTATGATGTTTTGTTTTGTATACTTTAAAAATGCAGTAACAAACCACACACACATCAAATTTTATGCATGTTATTCTGAGGACTTTCCTAGACTCCTAGAATACTCATGCTGACTTTTAAAATGTGTTCATGTCTTAAGGCTAGATTAAATGATAAAAGTGTATGCAATTTGTCTCTTTCCTTAACATTATTTTCAGTCATGAGTCTAATAAGAGAGAAGCCATCCATTTGGAAAGCATTCATTTGGAAAGGAAACCATTGACACCTCTTAGAAAGGTAGGATTTTAAAAGATGGCTCATCAGGTAAAGCTTTTACTTGGCAAGCTTGAGAAGCAGATTTCAATTTCTAGAGAATGCTTAAAAGTTGGATGAAGGGCTGGAGAGATGGCTCAGTGGTTAAAAACACTGGCTGTTCTTCCAGAGGACCTGGGTTCAATTCCCAGCACCCATATGGCAGCTCATAACTGTAGTTCCAGTTTCAGGTGATCTGACATCTTCACACAGATAGACATGCAAGCAAAAACATGAGTGCACATGAACAAAAATAAATAATTAAAAAATGTGTTTTTAAAGACATAAGTAAAGTCAGGAGGGCATGCTAGCTACCAGTGCTGGAGGTAGGGATGGAATCCTGAGAGCAAGCTCACTAGCCAGACTAGGGTAGCCAGAGGGTGGAAACTATGAATGATAATAAGAGGGAAATGATGGAGGGAGACATCTGACATCCATCTTGAATCTGCACATGCACGCATGTGCACACACACTTCCACACACAGGTGTGTCCCATACATGTGAATATGCATACACACATACATAAAATGAAGTTATGTATACCCTAAGTAAATCAAAAAGATTGAGCTTTACAAAAAAAAGACATCTCCCTTTTTTCTGTCCATTTTTATAGTAAATTATTTGTTCATAATACAGAAAATATGAGCAATTTTGACTGTTTTGTCATCTTTCTTTATCATCATCGTTTGTTTACACTGCTCATTTAGTCATCATGATTTAATAAATAGTTATCTGCCCTATTATTAGAGACCCATGATTGGAAATAATGGTAAAGAAATTGTCAAATTATACATAGTTACTTTTATCATTCCAGCTAGTCATTGGATGTATATACATATTTTATAGGGGCAGTAGGAGTATTCTAGGTAAATAGGCTTTACAAGTAAAGTATGGTTACTTGCTAGCTAATATTAATGATCACTTATAATTGCATACATGTTGCTTTTGATTATTAGAAAAGCATTCTCTGTGGGAATCCATTATTCATGTGCTATGTCATAATCATATTTTTTATGAATTCTACAAATGGCAAAAATCTTTAGCAGTCCAACTGTCTTTGGATGGTTGAAGAATGGAATACTGTCTTTGGCTACCAATCACTTTGCTATACCATAGTCAAGCATGGGGTAAACCTGTACTTTGTTTCTCTATGGGCCATCACAGTAGGAAATGGGTTGTGCAGAGAAAGACTACTTCTATCCATATCATATTCTTACTAACCTGTGAGCATGCAGTGCTGTGTAGTAGGGAACTGCTTTGGAAATTGTTTTCCTTGTTTTTTAAATTCTTTGTAACTCATTTTTGTCATTTTTGTATCATCATCACAACAAAGCCTACCAAAGCAAAAGAGTTTATTTATATATAAAGTACATATATAACACAATACATATTACTTGAATTTTTTTTCAAATAAATAGATGCTGAAAAGGATTAAGGAATTTGGCAAAGGTCATTCAGTTGGTAAGTGCTGAAACAGCACCTTGTATTTCATCATTGTACAAAGCAACCATGACCTCAATCCTAATTCAGCTAAGATTTTATTGTCTCTCTCTCTTACAGACGAGAAATACGGCTTAGGAACAGTGAGGCATGAACATTTCTGCCCCCAGGTCCCATTAACTCAGGGGTGAGAATAAAGAAAAAAATAGTAAATGCATATTTATATTCTAGATGTTATTTATAATGCCAACTTCTTACATTGTTTACTTGATTGCTAAGGATTTTTGAAATACAGAATCCTCCAACATGATGTATAGAAAAGAAAAACACTTGTTTTTTTTTTTTTTTCTTTTACCAGGCCAGATAAACAAATGGATCATTCTTTGTATGGCCAAGCTATTATTGGACTGGACATTGTTATATATTAATGGAGTTTTTTGTCTGAATCTGTCAAATGTTAATGGACTAGACATCGTTAATGTAATCTTGACTGTATATATTGTATGTACTTATTAGATATAATTTTTCTTGTATTAGTTATAAGCTTTTTTAAATTTACAAAAAAGGGGAAATGTGGCATTGTGTTCCCCAAAATATTGTGCACCCTAATAAACTTATCTGGTGTCAGAGACAGAACAGCCACTAGATACAAAGGCTAGAAAATGGTGGCACTCACACCTTTAATCCTAGCACTCCAGAGGTAGAAATCCCTCTGGATCTCTATGAGTTCAAGGCCACATTGGAAACAGCCAGGCATGGTGACACACGCCTTTAATCCCAGAAAGCAAGCCTTTAATCTCAGGGAGTGATGGTAGAAAGGAAAGATATATAAGGCGTGAAGACTAGAAGCATTTAGCTGGTTAAGCTTTTAGGCTTTGAGTAGCAGTTCAGCTGAGAGCCATTTTTTTTTCCAGAACTGAGGACGGAACACTCCCTGGGATTAAAGGCATGAGTCACCATACCTGGCTGTTTCCAAATGTGGCCTTGAACTCACAGAGATCCAGAGGGATTTCTACCTCTGGAGTGCTAGGATTAAAGGTGTGAGTGCCACCATTTTCTAGCCTTTGTATCTAGTGGCTGTTCTGTCTCTGACCCCAGATAAGTTTATTAGGGTGCACAATATTTTGGGGAACACAATACCACCACACCAAGCTATTTTGCTTTTGTATCATTTTATATCACATAAGTATAAGCAGGGACTTATTTAGTCACCATAGAATTATAGTTATTATGAATCTTAATTCATATAATCTAATATTTAATTATTGTGTAGTTATGTCCTAAACCAAAGGATATCAAATTGATTATCAGGTAAAAGGCATAATGATGTTTCCCAAATAAAGAAGTCATTTTATAATAAGTTAGAAACATGAAAATTGCTCAGATAATTATAATACACTATAAAGTTTTCTTGTTAGGCAGAATCAGACCACTATTGTTCAAGATTAATTTATTATCCAAGGTGTATTATTCATTTTTTCCAAGAAAGGAAGTTAAGATAGCTGGCTGTGATTAAGTAATTTGCTCAAAGAAAGAAGAAAACAATAGTTAAAGTCCAAGTGGAATTATGGCATGTCATTTTTGCAGAAGCACTAGTCCACAAACTCAGAATGTTGGTTAAAAAAAAAAAAAAGAAGCCAGAGGGAGATGGAAAGCCAACAATATATTTGTCATTTCCCATGTGTAACATGCTCAGAAAAGGTTTATGTTTGATCGGGATGTTCTGATTTCACTATGGTGTCTGAGGAAAGTACACGTGAGATTGTTGGGCTGTGTATTTTTTGACTTGTATCGCCAGAACAAAGATAACACCTAAACTTGCAAAACTGCTGCTGCTCCGTGAAATCCCCAAACTTAACACAAAACCTTTCATGAATTCTCAGCTTTTCTGTTGGGAGCCTTTCTTTCACCAAAGCCAAAGTGGAAGTCTAGCCCACTCTATGAATTTATAATCATAAAGAGGGTGTGGTATAGTGGAGTTGGCTTAGCTAGGGTTTCCATTGCTGTGAAGAGACACCATGACCATAGCAACACTTATAAAGAAAATCGCTTAACTGGGGCTGGTTTACAGTTTCAGAGGTTTAGTCCATGGTCATCATGGAGAGAAGCATGGCAGCGTGTAGGCAAATGTGGTGCTAGAGAAGGAGCTGAGAGTTCTGCATCTGGATCCCCAGGCAGCAGAAGGAGAACTGTGTCACTGGGTGTGGCTTGAGCATATATGAGTGCTCAAAGCCCAGACCATCCACAATGATACACTTCCTGCAAGAAGTCCACACCTCCTATTTGTGCCACTTCCTATGGTCCAAGCATTCAAACACATGAGTTTATGGGGGGCATTCCTATTCAAACTACCACAGTAACTAAGAGTGGAATGCTATAAAACAGCAGAGAAAAAAAAGGGGGGGCTCAGGAAAGGAACCCATGGTAGGAGTTCATGGTCAAACAAATGCAAAGGAGGTCAGGAAAGGTCATTATGGAAGTGGCCTGTACACAAAGATGTTTTCTGGAAAACTATGCAGCTGCAAAAGCTGAAGAACCAGGCATCTCCAAAAAGCTAAAGTGCTGTGGGATGTCTTTCCGTATGCTGCTGAGTATGTGTTGCTCTGATTGGCTGATAAATAAAGCTGTTTGTACAATGACATCTACCATTTGCCTCTAGGCTTTTCCCATTCTCTTCTGTAAATCTTACTCTTACTCTGTGGCTTGCTGTGTAGCTGGTGGCTGCCCCTAGAATCCTCCTCCTTCCCTGGCTACTACTTCCTTTCATTCCTCCATCTCTTTTCTTCTTCTTCTCTATATATTCTCTCTGCCTGCCATCCATGCCTGTCCTTTCTCCTGCCTTGCTATTGGCCATTCAGTTCCTTATTAGCCCATCAGGTGTTTTAGACAGGCACAGTAACACAGCTTCACAGAGTTAAACAAATGCAACATAAATAAAAGTAATACACCTTAAAATAATATTCTACAACAGAGATCTGGGTCAGACTTCTGACCCACCAAGCTGTAGGAATTTTGTATTGTTTTGTGATAATTTACTATGATAGCACCAAAGTTTAATCTGTTTCACTTGGTTCTGAAAATAGACTCAAGGGAAGTTAGGATAAATGATTTGCTAATTGACCAAGGACCTAAGATCCAAAGCCAGTGGTCAGTGAACTTCACAGCATTGTGGATACACTACAAATTCTTAACATTTAAAAACAGAGAGGATAAACAGTGGAAGTACTTTCAACTCTGTTTTAAATTGTTCTGGTAAATAAACAATTCTTCTGATTTAATAAAAATGAAGTTAAATATGCCTTCTTGGTTTCTGACCTGAAAGCTCAAATGGTTATTTAAATAAAATCTACATAATATGACATGACCATTACAGAAAATAAATGTAGCATTCCTTCTTTTTTTTTTACTTTGAAATTGACAATTACTTTTCTATTAATTTGCAAATAGTTTATACTACATGCTACTTGAAACCGCAATTGTTCTGTTAGAAGTGATAAACTGTCCTAATAAAGGGTTATTTCATGAGCATCTACGCAAGTTTAGGGGCAACCAGAGAGAACTAAATTACTCTAAGGAGGAGGAAACAAAAGAATTAGCAAGATGTAAGGTGTCAAATTGTGTAGAATGATACAGCCAATGCAGATAGTACAGACCTAGCATAGGATTCAAAGGTATTTCCAAGGCAGCACTCAAGGTCACCCACAGTTCTTCAGTTTAAGTTCTCCTACATGCAGCATCCTTGTCTTTGAGGGTGCTCTGAACAAGTTGATAAAGATCATCATGTAACCTCTGACTTGAAAGAATGGAAGAGAAATAATCATAAGATACCAAGAACAAAGAACAGAAATTGATGAGAGGAAGAAAATCAGTGCCAGAGGGATCCATAGAAAAATATAAGCTAATCAAAAGTTTATATAGAACTAAGAAAGTTTGATTTTCCAATCCATATATTTGGAGTTTGAGTTAACTATTTACAGAAAGTTACATGCCTGGTAGTCAGTTGATTTCTGGTCTACAAAATCACAAGCATCACTATCAAAACAATAATTCACAATTATGTGCTATCTACATCTATTAATATTTTATGTGGACTCAGAACAGTCTGCCTTTTAAGACGATGTAATCTAGAACCCAGCATGGTGGGGTACACACCTTTAATCTTGATATTTGGGAGATGAAGGAAGATCTCTGAGCTGGAAGCCAACTGGTCTCCTTAGCAAGTTCTAGAACAGCTGGAGCTATGTGGAGAGATCCTATCTCAAAAGGCAAGAAGGAGAAGAAAGAAAGAAAAGAAAACAAGGTGTGGTGTCTGTGTGCCTTGATGTTTACACATTTCGGTGTGATCCTTGCTGTGGGATGTTCTGTATGTCCTGTGGGAGCCCATTCTCGGGTTCCTCGTGGCTTTACCCAGCAGGTCCACATAGAGGATGATTAGGACCTGCTGACCTGATTAGGACTAACAGAGAGGAGAAATAAAAGAACAGGAAGGCAGAAGGAGTCACTGCCAGCCACCGCCAGGACAAGCAGTATGTAAAGATGCCGGTACGCCATGAGCTATGTGGCAAGGTATAGATTTTTGATTAATTTAAGCTATAAGGACAGTTAGCAAGAAGCCTGCCACGGCCATACAGTTTGTAAGCAATATAAGTCTCTGTGTTTACTTGGTTGGGTCTGAGTGGCTGTGGGACTGGCGGGTGACAAAAATTTGTCCTGACTGTGGGCAAGGCAGGAAAACTCTAGCTACAGATCCTTACATTCACTTTAATGAAATAGCACTGCCATGTTCTATTTATTGCCTTAGATCAGCAATCCTAATCCAGCCATGAGCAGGAAACCTGTGCAAGCATTTAGGTTTATACTGGACTTATGGAGTCAGTACTGAAGATTCATCTAGTGTGTGCGCACGTATAATTTAGAGAATCAGCAGGGAATGTATTGTTGAATTTTACCTTGGGCCATATACTATACAAGGCATTTATGTTCATTCATGTAATCCATAAACTGTCATCCACATAGTCTCTCCACCACCACCCTAGATGATACAGAACTATAGGTGTTAAGATTTCTTCTGGAGGGGTGACTTTGCCCTGTATCCTACCTGTTTTCCTTCCCTTAAATAGTTTCAAACTGTGAAGCCAGTCACACCTAAAAATACTGTGCAAGTATAAATGTACCAATCCAGCAGTGCTGACAGTAAACCAAGGCCAGGCTAGGAGAAGGAAATTATCACACTCCAAATGCATTTTATGCTAATCTTCTCAAATCATCTCTACGCAAAGATAACTCCCAAAGTAGTCATTTTCTTGTTTTCCTTTGTAATTGTTGTAGGTTTGTTTACTGAGTTTTCTTAACTTGCTCCTTAGGCATATAGCTCTTGAAAAATAATTTTTTAGTTGTGCCTCCTTTTGAAATGTATTAAGAAAAGGTGAGGATTGATTTAATGTTCTTTG